ATGTACCTGTTGTGATGCCCCTTCCAACGAGTTGTCAACGTACATGTACATAAATAGTAATGGAAAGCCTTAGCCTCAGAGAGCCTGCAAACCACCCTGGGCAAACCGGACATAATAATAACCAGCCGTTACTGTAATCTTTTAGAAACTAAATCACACAGGTTCCAAATTATAAATCGTCCAATAATTACATGAACTTAATCAATGCATGTTGGTTACATGGGTTGTTATTATTTGAGATATCTGAATATTCATATCATATGTGTACACATGACAGTGAAAACGTGTATGTAATAATTATTGTCAGCAGAGTGAATTTGCTCATTTTAGACGGAACAAACTGCAATGCATCCTCACATAGCTAAATCCACCAATTTCAGTATGCTTTGAATATACCCTATAGGGAGTACATGAAATACATGTACGCATTGGATGTGAATAATTTATATTAAGCACTTCGTATTATTACATGAATAAATGATTCACTCAGACGATTTCAAATCTTTTTTTTACAGCATTCGACTGGTTCAATACAGAGAGTCAATTCTCATGAAATTTTTAATGAGAATTTTTTTTTAAGCTTCTGTGGGTATTAGGCTTGTTGAGCAATCGGAAAAAATGACAGAAAATGTTTTGGGGAGCTGACAGGACTGTTCAGGCTCAGAAAGGCATTGGTCATCACGGAATCCTGGATTTACTCATTTTTCTGTGCGCCATGCTTACAGCCTTCATTTTCTGAAAAGGAGTAAACATTCTCAGTGCACATGGACGTGTACCAGCTGATTTCCTTGCTTTTTACGTGTTTTTTCAACATACTGTATTTTTTTTTACATACCAAATACAGACCACTATGTACATGTCATTATGTACAGTGCATAAGCATGTACAAGTACAACGTGTATTTAACGTTAATCTTTTTGGAAAGATAAAGTGGCTGTATGAGAAAGGCTGGGCAGTGGCTTTAAGCTTTTCACATGGACACATAATTTTTCCCGTACCATTACCTCAAGTTGAGTAATTTGGACTCAACCAGTAAGCCACAGCTATTTCTACCGGTATGTACATTCATGCACTAATATGCCCGTATGAAAACTGTGCAAGAAACATGTAGATCATTGCCTAATTGAAGACAGTTCATAGACGGTCTTGTGCCCCTGGCCCCACCGCTGCTGCTCATGATCGAAGTGTCACTCTGTTCTTGGAAAAAAAAAACGATCAAAATATAATTTACCCGAAGCAAAAGGTTAACTTTTTTCTGTTCTGAGCTTTTGCCAAAGGTACATGTACTGTACATGTAGGCCTACCCACTGCATATTACACATTTATAATTCATTTTAATGTATTCATTTATACAGCAGTATGACCAGCCAGAAAAAAAATTTATGGGCAACAATTACATGTACATGTTTAATAGTCTTTCACCACCTCCGCAAAAAAAAAAAGATTCCTTCAAACACAACACATCAAAAATAGGGATAAAAGAGACTTTTGCTCTGGATGTGCTGTCCAAACCAGAAGCTGTTTCCACTTGTATCGATTCCAGAGGGTGCTTTGGATTAATCACTCACCCAACCCCTTTGATCTTTGATGTACCAATGTGCTTTTAACCCCTTGTTGCTACATGTAGCTTCCATTAACATAAGGCACGCAGGTACATATACATGTAGTGGTGTGCTGGATACAGCATCTGCTGACTTGTCTAATATGCAAATTACAGTGTAAGCATACATGTATATCCATGGGCAATTCTATGGTGTCGAACGCACATTTTGGATGCTTCAACAGTGTGAATTAGACTTACATGTATAATCTTCAGTCAGGTTTTCATTTTGATAAAAGGCATTAGCTAGCTGGTACGTTACTGATTTAGTAAAAATTAAATGACCCCTCAGCATTATGACCTTTGTAGAATCAGACTACCCTGGTGTCGGCCATACTCAGAGAAACTTAATTTTTGGAGTTTCCATTTTTGTATCACAAACTCTGTGACGTGCTTGGGCCTTATGTAATCTTCTTCCTGTGTTGACAGCCGACCATTGTTAAACTTCTGGATAAGACATGTTTTTATCTGATTGAGACTTTCAGAGAAGCCTACTGATACATTGTACATAACTGCTACTGAAGGGTTGGGCTTCCTTCATTGTACTGGCAATGCACAGTGCATTACCGCCAGCAGTGCATGGTTTTGACGGTGTTGGATGTACACGGTGTCAGACAAGCACATTGGACACCATAGTTTTAAGAGTTTGACTAAATAATTTAGGGAGTCATGCTAATGTTCAGGAAGAGGGTTACTTATTGTGCTTTGTATTGTAATTTTGGCACTCTCCCAAAGGGTGTATTGTGGAGATAAAACCTATGTAAATTTAGTGTCGGACGCACAGTACATAAGAAAGATAAGTTTTCTAAAATAATACATTACATAGAAATTCAGAAAAGGAAATGGACATTGATTTCTGTCGTGTTTAACTTACTGGGTCATTCTTCAATCTGTTACAAAATTGGACCAAAAATTTCTTAACAGGCTAAAAAACAGAAAAGACTTTCAGTGGGGAAACTTTAACCCAATTTCTTGGTATTTAAAACTAATTTTCAGTGACAAATAAAAGCCAAATTCTTGAACGTTGTCAGAAATGAAATATATTTGAAGAAAGTACACTCATATAGAATTTGTCACATTTGGACCATTTTGAAATGTTGACCCAAAGGTTGATGATTCCGTGGACTTGCCCATATACTCGGAGGTGTGTGATTTGGACATTATATAAAAGCATGTCCCTGGTATTGGTTGATGTTTGGCGTGTTTTATTCAGGCACCACCAGTAGCACAAAATCTTAGGAAGTAGGGTCACAACGTCTCTGTACACAGGATGTTTTACTTTGTTTTGATTCCCCTTTTAAAATTTCTAGTTTATTTTTTTGCCTCGTTTCTAACTAGTAAAGATGGCAATACTGATGTATTTTAACTTTTTTTGTCATTCTTACAAACCAGATGTCAAATAGACCGACAAAAATATTTTATTTGGAATAGTCCTCCCTATCGAAACAGGAACAATGGATTGTCAGCTAACAATCATTGTCCTAGCATGGAGGAAGAAATGGTCTTAGAGAAGTGTTTCAGTTTGGTTTGATACAGGGGTCCCATCCTGTACTATGTGCATCTTGTCATTTAGATATCTAAAGGCTGAAGCCAAGTCCAGCCCCGAATTTTCCTTACTGTTTTGTGAGTGATGTTGGAAAAGCATGAAAACATGCAAGAAATAATGGAGAATCTTGCTTGTATCCAAGTCAAAAAAGGGTCCAAGGGGTTGTGGTGTATAGGTTGATTTAATTAAGGGTTTGTTTATCTATTCCGAACTCTTCAGTCATTTAATGAGTCCAAAGTTATCTGCAGCAGTTCCACTCGAAAGCTCCAAAATGCATTTATGCACCAATTTGTATGCAGAAACCAGCTGTTACCTTGATGCATTGAATACACGCAATGAATACGGAAATTAAGGAAATTCAGTGTAGTATTTGAGTACCTTTCCATAATTAGGGTACAGGTATTTTTCCATACAAGTACTTTAAGAGTACGAGTACATGGAATTTTTTCTCTTGAGAGAGTACGAGTACATTTTCATGAGTACGGGTAGAGAAAAAAGTACTTGAGTACAAGTATTACAACATTATCATAATAAGTAGAAAATAAGAGAGTGACTGATTGTACCACACAGGCAATGAGTAGAATGAACAATGTGTACACTTAGGGTTAATGGCCATATTGTTGATTCAGAAAGTGTATACATCAGCAGGTAGAACACATGGGTGTTGGGAAGTTTGGTTTTTAGTACATGTATATAGGGCTATCAGGTTTTGATGACCTCATTGCTTTATACCATGAAATACACTGCTGTGGCTTTTTTTATGTTAACGACGTGTACATGTATGGAGTTAAGCGGGTGGATGCTTAGCATGTTTTCATTGAAGGCATCACTCCTACCAAAGTACAAGTAACCGGGGGAAATTTTTTCTTGAGAGAACGAATACAAACTACACTTGTTGGAGTTCTATAAGTAGAAGTTCTACAACACTGCTTGTCAGTACATACATTATTTGCAGTCATCTGTGGGGTAGTCATGCCTGTGCCAGTGCCAAGATATGGGCCTTGCCATGCCTTGAAGATAAAGATGTCCTGGAATTGATCAAACCACTGTGACAGGTTGTCAATTTGCCCTACCCTGCCTGGGTTCCAGTTGAGCGGGATTGCATCATTGCAGGACTCCCAAGTTCACAGCTATCCTGGTCCATTGAGATAGCATTGCTTGATCAAAGTAGTGCTTATTTGCTTCAGGAGATTGATGGCTTAATGCACAGAACCCCCACAATATCCCGTGGGTGTCTTAAGAAACTTAGGCTGCACATAAATACCATACAGTTGTGACATGTTGCACATCGGATGGAGGCCATCTATGAAACAGCTGCAAACTCAGATATACATGTACTTGCTTCTTAAGGCGTTTCTGAAAAATGTAAGTCCTGCCTTAAGAAGCAAGCCATTATCTGTTGGTTCTGGATGTACCAACAACTTACTGTGTACTGTTACCTGGCAGATCCATTCATTTGTACATCATTTGATGTCTAGATGTGGTACAAGATGCAAAATACTGTTACAAGATACGGGACACATGGAGACACTTGGAGATGAGTGGAGAATATATGTTCTACCTTTGTCTCCACATGACTTAAGGTGTCCGGATTTAGTGGTGATTTAGGCTGGTTTCTGTGCAATAAAACTATAAATATCGCTGCTCTGTAGAGTTCTTTAATGTTCATCAGTAACAGAGCCTTCCTCTTGAAGTTCTCAAAACTGATCACAATCTGTCTTTTATCCCTCAGAATTAAGTTAAGATGTGAAAATAATCATTGTATCAAGATTAGGACCAAAGATGTTTATGCTCAGCAACCATTGAAGATGTCCAGTTCTTTCTTCTTTCCAACCCCCCCCCAAAAAAAACCAGGAAAGGTACTGGGACATGGTGGAAAAGGAGATGCCAGAGTGGAAGGAAGAGGTGAAGAAAGCCGCCAAGAGGGACAGGAGCAATCCCCCCAGTGCCAGGTAGCCTAGAAGAACAGGAGGTGCAACTCTAGTTCCTCCAACGTCCGATTCATCACCTGAGCTCTTGTGGTGCTGCTGGGAATCACTGGGCCTTCTCACCAGCCGTCGGCAGTCTCCTGAGAGGTGCAGAAGAGGTGGTGGCCCTCGCAGTGTCCAATGGCAAACCCAAAATTGAGTGGTGCATCATGGAACTAGCCTTGACCTCCAAGAAATGGTTATTCCTCAGATCCTGAAAGGCTCTCAAAATGTCCGAAACATACATGTAATTCCACCCCAGGAGCATTGATCCCTTTACTCGTCTCTAATGGCAACAATAGCAACAACAGCAGTGACCATTAGTGTATTATTTGACCAAGTACCATGAAAGTTGTAGGAACAGTTCTTTGAGACATCCTGGTGGAGATGAGTTGTACTTTAAGAAAATTTTGAACAATTAATTGCCAAGGAGTGCGATTGAATAACCTCCCCCCAAAACACTGAAGTTACATAATAAATACAAATTACATAATACATGTTTACACTGTGTCTGTTTTAAAACCAAAACCTCAAAGAAAAAATGAACAAGATTTACTCCCAAAAGGCCTGTTTGATGCATTCCCAAGCTCTCCAGGCCTGTAGTCTGTAGTCTTGACCACAAGAAAGAGGGTCATGATTGTTTCACGAACCCAGCTACATTTAGGAGGAAAGAGAACAACCATCAGCTGTTTGGGAACCAATACCAAAACAGATCTGTCTGGTGAGAAGCTGCCAAAAGGGGAATCTTCCTGTTGGAAGGTAGGCCCGCTGAGTGGAGCATGTCTTTCAAGAAATGTCTCCACAATGCATGTTTGAAATGCGCCACATTCCTAATACCCGGAACATCCTGTGACCATTTCTGCGTGGCACAAAAACATTCTCTAATGGGCATCATCCTATCATGTTTTTCCATATAAAATAACATGCCAAGGTCTTGATGGGGCTGTAATGTATCTTTCCTCTCTTTTAGTCTGTCTGCAGTACTAGCAAGTGATTGTAATTTGTTCATAATGAGATCCTCACCAGAGGTTTGGATGTGGGTGAGAGACTGTGACAAAACAGTCCTTTTTGGAGATTAGCTACATTCCCTGAGTCTTTGTGTGGAAGACTGGAACACATTCGATGCATTGTTAAAGAATATGGTTGATTTAATTTAAATGAAATACATGTACATGTATTTATGTTTTAACAAATCTAGGTGTAAGTACTCGGCAACTTAAGCATACAGGGACACGGGCTCCTGTGTGTTGATGGTATGAGCCCAAGCACATGTTGTATGCAATATTTGTATTTAATCTAGTATTTTCTGCTGTGTCCTCCGCAGCTCACGCTGATGCCATTTATTGATGGAAGTGACCTTTATGCGATTGATGTGCTGCATATTATTAAGTGGCAGATTCAAATCCAGTGCAGTTGAAAGTTAAATATTAAAGGTGGATGGTATTTTATGATGTATTTAGGGAAGAAAAATGAGCATTTTCAGACATAAACAGCTCAAAGACTTTCACAAACCAGTCAAGCGGAATGTCAGTAGGCAGTGCACAATTGCCAATCCTTTCAGCATTCCAAATCTTTTCAAAACGCTCCCTTGTGTGCCGCTGTCACATTTTTTGAATGAAAACATCTATTAGTGTTGACCGGGAATCCAGTACAATAGAGTGTGGGTGTTTGCTATCTGTATACACCTGTTGGCATTACAAAGGCAGAAAAATACTGTTACTAAGTAGGGATATTTGTACGTGAGCGTTTTCGTGTACATGTGGAAAAACAAATTTCATTCGGGAGTTTGTACACACCATGAAATTTCAGGCATGTTTGTATATACATGTAAGGCGGAAGTGCATATACTGTACATGGTTGATTGGTACATTTCCCCTCCTGTTTTAGGACATTAGAATAATGAAGTTGTAATGGCCCAAGGATGTATTTAGAATTTGTGGGTGGGATTTGTCAGGATGTTTGTTGCATGAGCAAATGACGGATGCCATTGCAATATGTTTTAAATGATCTCTCCTTTGGTAATCTACATACATGTACACCAACCCTTAAGATACCTGTCTCATCATGTAACCCAGAAAATGATGCTATTTTCCTCCTTCAAAAAAGGGCCGAGAATTTTGCTTGGAAATTACGTTATGGTAGATAATTAAAGCTGAACATAATGGCGAGTCTTGAGTAACCTGGTCATGGTTTCCATTAGGATGGATTTTGACAAGTCCGGAAAGTTTTAAGTCCAGATTTATTGTATCTCTACCATAGGTAGACTTGAGGGATTGTTGGGAAATGAGCATGATATTGTATAAGAGAGAGATTACATCGCTTGCAATTGGAAATGGAGTGTTCGACTTGGCTACATATAAATGTAGTGTAAAGTCGCCTTTCCACCAAGTATTGCGTGTCCTTCAAAATGGCTTTGGGGGCGATTTTGACGGCCGCCTGCGTGATGTTTATGGAGTCAATTTTTGTGTCCTTGAAAGTGAAACGCATGAACGCATCGTATACGCAACGCATGCAAAACCCATTCATATAGAAAGGCGCTTGAAATCGACAACCCCAATAATTGTTACTGTTAAAGCACGGGTTGGAAGTCAGTCTCCTTTGAGAGTCGGAGGATAAATGGAGAAAAAGCACCACCTGCTTGAAATCCATAACCAGTGTTACCGAAAGCTGCGATTTCGCTCAAACAGATGCGCGTGGCTTTTGCATCTTTCCGGTTGATGTGCACATTACGTGTTACGTGTTTACCTGTTTTCTTGGTAAAAGAGCATAGCTTAATTTGCATTTACCCGGAATTTGGAAACAGTTGTAAAGGTCACGACACATACAGTTCTGTGAAAGTATTCCCCTAGCACGTCAAGTCAAAGCGTGTCAAGCGGTTCGTGTATATACATGTTTTTTTCCCATTTCGCTGAAAGGCAAACTCAATCCAGGCTCAACTTGTGGTCCAGATTCCATTGAAGAATCGTTTTTAGCGATTCCGGGAACAACAATACTCATGATAGAGGATATTCAGAAGTAAAACGACCGCTTTCTAACTTCATACAAGTGCATTTCCAGAAATGTCTTCGTATACGAAAAGTTGTACTTTGTGAATGGCAATACTGGCGATTCGCAAAAGTGTGCCTCCAAGAGTTTGCAACGCGTTGACCAATCACAGTGCGCGAAATCTCTCGACCCTTTCCAAACGCACAGCGGGTCGAGAGATTTCGCGCACTGTGATTGGTCAACGCGTAGAGGCGCACTATTGTGAATGGCCTGTATTCAGCGTTGCTCTAGCTGCGGATTCAACATATACGTCCAGTTAAAACCCAATTTACTTCAGCGTTCCCTTGCGTGAGGTAGCCCTTGAAAATCATACAACCCCCCTCCCATCCGTACATTCAATCAAAAAAAAAATTGTGCAAGTTTATGTGACAGTGTCCATCGTTGGTTTTACAAAAAGTAAGTTAGTTCTCCCCCTTGATGTAAATTAGGTCGTTTCTCTGTAAAGTACATTGCCTGACTCAATTTTTCACAAGTGGGTGCGGATTCTTTAAGCACTGTTGTATCGGCACACACGTCTAACAAAAACTATCTAAAAATTATGTGTTTGTCCACGCCCCATTTCAGAGAAGCGACTTCATGTTTTTTTATAAAAAAAAACTTGAACTGGAATAGGACTTCGTCAGCACTCAGAGACTACAAAATATAAAAACCGTCACGTCTATAATAAATCCTTCCTCATACGGTGTTGGAGCTAAGGCTTCAGTCCTCAAGGCCCAGGCTTTGACCCTCGAACCATTAAGGCAAATATTAAGGCCGATGCTTTTCCCTCGAGGCCAAGGCCAATGCTTGTCCTTCAAGGCCAAGCTTATCTCTGAAAGCTGAGGCCACTGCGTAT